GTCAACGAAAAATAAGGAAAAAGAACTAATGAATTTTTTAAGTCTAGCCTAATCTACTTTAGAATGATCAAGTGATGACATGATGCCCTCTTCACTTTGTGGCAGGGCTCAAAACAGACAGACCTGCCCGTTTCACTGTTAACTTCAATGCTCCCAATCTGAATCCACAGTGGTCTGTCAGACACTGTAAGGGAGCAGCAGGACTCGTCACTGTCTGATGTAATAGCTGCCATTTGTTGAGACCTATGGTAGAAAAAACCAAGTTAACAAAAATAGAGCAGTCATTTGAGTTCTTTTTAATCCATTTAACCAAAAAATAATTTAAAAATAAGACCAAAATTTAGTTGAATTTTAACAATGAATTTATACTGGAAAACTTGCTGGCTTCACAGAATGCGAAGCTTTTGGTTGGTACTAAAGGAAAACAAATTGAGAGGTGTGTGCATATACCAGTCTTGGCCAGGAGAGGGCACTCTCCGGCCCAAGTTGGTTCAGCAGCAGAATGCCATCTGGCACACCAATAGCTGCCCTCCAAGCACACTAACAAACGAAAACGAAATGCTAGTTCACATTTAAAGGTCCTTAAAAAAATTTTTTTTACTAGTCTAACAAAACTAGCTACAGGTGAGGGAAAGTGTGGTGAGCAGTCCCTCGTCTTCTCATTACTCAAAGGGCTGATGTGGTCCCCCCATCCAGATTGCATGCATCATTAGCTCAGTGGGCCTGTTTTGCAGAATGAACAAAACCGGCTAAAGCTTTTCTCCATTAATCCCAGAAACCTACATATGAATACTCTTCAGAACCTCAACTTATTACTGGGTGAGGTAACACCTGCTTGACGTAATGGTTATGACAAGCTTTCTCACTTAGGCTTTCAGAACAGACTTCAAATACTAAACATAATTCAAATGAAGGATTGTAATAAGCTGTATTTTGAAACATACTAGCTAGTTTGCTTACTTTCCTAGTGTAAGTATAAATAAAGAACACCTTATCTATCATATAAGTATAGTCAATTTCAGGATCACTGATTTACACAATGCCAGTTCTTATAGTAAAATAATATTTTTAAATGCTAAAAAATTAATCAGAAGCAGTAGAATATTAATCAATTTTAAAGGTGTTTCTATTAAAAAGGAGAAATTGTATATACCTGATCTACAAACATAATTACTTCTAAATTTTAACTCAGAGGAAACCAATTTTTTTAAATGAGGTTATTTACCATTTCAATCATAGGAAAATTTAAATATACTATTAACTACAACCCAACAATCAAATAAGAAAAAGGGGATCTGAATGCACTGAAGAATTTCTCTTCTGAGGCTCTCCCTCCAAAAGTAAAAACTGAAGGTTTCAACAGTCATTCTAAAAAATCTCCTTTTTGATTCTAGGCCAGAGTCTTCAAGAAAATGCATCTAATAACCTCCATGTCCCACTTCCATCCCCCAAATGCAATGAAAAATATTAATGTGCCACTCCCAGGACCCCAGGGCATGAACTGCAAATCTTTGAGGCTAGTATTAAGATGCATCTCTCCTCAATGCACTTAAGAGTCTCCAGATTTTCTATGGAAATTTACCAATAAAGGGTATCATACAAGAAGCCCTGGCTAGGATGCAATAAATGGAGGGACACCAATTGAAAAGGCATGAATTTCATTGGAAATTACTTATTCTGTCCTTTAAAAGAAAGCTGTAGTGCAACTATGGCATCTACGCCTGGGCAGCAGAAATATAAAGGGGCAAATAACAGGGTAAGCAAACACTCCATCTCCCTTTTGTTGTTAGGTACTACTGTCAAGTCATTTCCAACTCATAGCGACCCTATGGTGCAACAGAAAGAAACTGCCTGGTCCTGTGCCATCCTCACAAGCGTTGCTAGTTTTAGCCCCTGTTGCAAGCTACTGGGCCAATTAATCTCTTTAAGAGTCGTCCTCTTTTTCACAGACTCTCTACTTTACCAACCATCTCTCTTGTAGAATGTGTGAAAGAAGAGGGTCATGCTTTTAAAGCAAAGGCCAGAATTAAAACCTAAAAATTTGAGATTATATACCAGTATCTTAGTGTATCTTAGTGAACACTAAATAAAATTTTTCTCTTAATACATTATGATGCAACATGAACAAACAGTACAAGCATAAACAGTACCTTGTTTTACAATCAAGACATTCTGATTTTCTAGATTTAGTGCTGTTTTTCTAACCAGTCATTTTTCTATAGTTTTAGACAAATTGCACATGGTTCTTCCCAGCATACCAGGACTCACTCCAAGATGTGCCCCTCCCAGACTGAATCCCTACTGAACTCTGGACAGAAATCATAGGTATAATCAACTGCATCTCAAAAATGAGCCATGGGTAAAAATGAACATCTTCTGGAAAATATGGCTGCGACACACACAATCAAGGCCTTGGAATATGACGCATTTCCCTCTTGAGAAACGGGAACCAATCCTCTACTTAATTATACCAATAAAATACAGCAAGGAACGTTGAAGTTAATGTCCACTTTTGCACCCCCATTTGGCCATAAAACATTAAAAAACAAAATGCGGGGGGGGAGGTCCCTGGTGAACATGGACATCTATGTAAATGAGCTCACATTACTTAAAAGCAGAAAACTGTAGCTTTGTAGTTCTAACAGCTTTGTAAAGCTCTCCTTACAGAGAACTCTACACTGAGCCCCACAGTTCACTTTGCATGTCCTTTGAAAGGATCTGGATATGCTGGGATTCTGAGAAAGGAGCTCTGGTGGCATAGTGCCTAAGGCATTTGACTGCCAACCAAAAGGTTTGCAGTTCAAACCCACCACCCACTCTGCAGAAGAAAAATGAGGCAAGCTACTTCCGTAAAGATTTACCACCTTGGAAATTCAACACGGGGTCACCTGAGTACGAACTGACTAGACGGCAGTGGGTATGGCTTGATTCTTGGGCATCTGAGATAGTGACTGGTCATCAGTACACAAGGTCCTGAACCAAAATTACTCTTCACACACTGACAAGTAGGCTACCTACTTATGTTAGGTCCTGGGTTTAGCACACACCCGTGGTATCTGGTTGATTCCAACATATAGTGACCCTATAGGACAAAGTAGAACTGCCCCCACCAAGTTTCCAAGGTTGTAATCTTTAAGGAAGTGGACTGACACATCTTCCTCCCATGGAGCAGCTGGTGGGTTCGAACCATCAATCTTGATGTTAGCAGCAGTGCTTAACCACTGTGCTACCAGGGCTCCTTGCTTAGCACAGGTAGGGTAGATACAGGGAAGTACTATATAGTTGTTATACATTGTCATCAGTCATCTCCAACTTACAAAGACTCCATGTGTGCCAAGGCAGAACAGTGATCCATTGGGTTTTCAAGGCTGTGACCTTTCAGAAGCAACTAACCAGGCCTTTCTTCCCAAGTCCCTCTTGTTGGGTTTGAATTGCCAACCTTTTGGCTAATAGTTGACCACTTAACCATTTGTACCACCCAGAGAGCCTTAGAAAACAATCTTTAAAATATGCTTTACATAAATGAATGGGGCAAGAATTGAAGTATTAATGCAGTTAATGTTCCCTTCATTGTAATCCACATGACCTCCAACTCAATTGCCCTCCATAAATGCCTATTGAACTAGTGAGCCTGCCTACTTCTAAATATTTGTGGAAGACAACAGTAGTTATGATTACTGGAATCTTCATGTAAGAATAACATTTCTATAATTGCTATAACATTATAACATTGCTATGATAGCTTCTTTTCATTTATATAATGAAATATACTGAGTATATTACAGAAAAATAGCATCAAAAGATACCAGAATGACATTTGTGTGCCACATACACAAAGTGGTGGTGGTGGTGGTAATTACAGCAAGTATTTACACAGCTCTTGTGTGAAGGTACTTTTCTTATTGCTTTAAATATTCATTTAAATTCTCACAATGACCCTATAAAGAGGTATTTTATTCCCCCCATTATACAGATGATGACAAGTCACTTGCCAAAGATGACACAGCTTTTAAGAGGCAGATCCAAGTCAGTATCTGAATCTACAAAATCTGACTCAAGAGCATGCACTTTCAACTATGTGCCTGCAGAGTGAAAGAGAATGCTCACCTTGCCATATTATCAGGCACTACTGGTGCAATACAGTCCGATACAGTGCAAGACGACGAGCCCCTTAAGTCAGAAGGCTCTCAAAATATGACTGGGAAAGAGCTGCCTCATCAGAGTAGAACCAACCTTAATGATATGGGTAAAGTAAAGCTGTCAGGACCTTCATTTGCTGACGTGCCAGGACTCAAAATTAAGGAGAAACAGCTGCAAGCATCCATTAATAACTGGAACTTGGAATGTATGAAATACGAATCTAGGAAAATTGCAAGTTGTCAAAAACGAAATGGAACGCATAAAGATTGATATCCTAGGCATTAGTGAGCTAAAATGGACTGGTCTGGGCCATTTTGAATCAGTTAACCGTATGATCTACTATGCTAGGAATGACAATTTGAAGAGGATGGCGTAGCATTCATCATCACAAGGGATGTTTCAAGATCTGTCCTGAAGTACAATGCTGTCAGTGACAGGGTAATATCCTTATGCCTACAAGGAAGACCAGTTAATACGACTATTATTCAAATTTACAAATCACCACCAAAGCCAAAGATGAGGAAATTGAAGATTTTTATCAACTTCTGCAATCTGAAATTAACCAAACACGCAATCAACACGTGTTAATTATCACTGGTGACTGGAATACAAAAGCTGGAAAAAAAGAATCACCAATAGTTGGAAAATTTGGCCTTGGTGACAGAAATAATCTAGAGATCACAAGACAGAATTTTGTAACCAATGACTTATTCATCGCAAATACCTTTTTTCAGCAACACAAATGGCAGCCATACACGTGGACTTTGCCAGATGGAGTACACAGGAATCAGACTGACTACATCTGTGGCAAGAGGGGATGGAAAAGCTCAGTATTACTAGCAAAAATAAGGCCAGGAGGTGATTGTGGAACAGACCATCAACTGCTCATATGCAAATTCAACTTGAAGTTGAAGACAATTAAAACAAGTCCATGAGCTCCAAAATATGACCTGGAATATATCCCTCCTGATTTAGAGACCATCCAAAGAACAGATTTGATGAACTGAACACCAATGACCAAAAACCAGAAGAATTGTGGGATGACATCAAGAACATCATCCATGAAGAAAGCAAGAGGTCATTAAAAAAAGAGAAAGAAAGAA